CCGCCGGCCAGGGCCCCCCCAGCCGGTCTCAGCCAAGGGCCCAGCCTCCAGTCCAGCCCAGAACGGGGCAAGGCCAACTGCCCGCCTGCACACCTGATGGGCCATGTGGTGACACCGCCCCAAACGGCAGAGAGGGGCCGCATGGATGCTGCCAAGGACAGGCACGTCCCGCCCAGTCGACGAGCGTCTGCGGCGCGGCCTACCTGGCTCTGCCCGGCCCATCCACACTGCGTGACTCCTCCCTGGGCAGCCCCTCCCTTCCCCACTTGCTCTGCCTGAGGCCCATGGGAGGGGTGAGCCGCGGCCCGCCCTGTTTGGCTGGACTCGCGCTTCCTGAAACTCTGCGGGGAGGGGTGTCCCAGCCACTGTGTGGCCAGTGCGTGAGATGTGCGACTGTCCTCTCCGGGGGAGGCTGCAGTGCTCGACCTCATAAATAAACACCAGCCACCAGCAGGTGGGTGCAGCCTTGATGCCCTCTCTCCACCCTTCAGTGAGGTCCCCACAAGGCGGGCCCACAGGTGAGGGGTTGGGACGGGGGGGGGCAGAATCACACAGGCCACACGCCTCGCCTGAAGGGCAGTTCCGCCTCCACGGTCCTGTCTGTGGGCGCGCAGGAGGGCCGACTGGGCACGCAGCGGGCGAGGACGGCCAGGCTCAGAGTGGGGGAGGGTGAGTGCGGGGCCCTCACCAAGGGCACCATGGGGTGGGGTGCTGTTTGAACCAGAGTCCCGAGGGCCTCTGGGGGAGAGTGGGAGACTTAGGGGCCAAGGGTGAATGAAGTTCCACCCCTCAGGACCCACCCTTCTAATACCCACACCATATGGGGACGCCTGGCAGACGCAGGGGCACTACCTGGTGGGCTCAGGGCAGGAGAAGGCAGCAGGAGACTGGGAACAGGCGAGGTGGGGGCACAGGTGAGGTGGGGACAGGTGAAGTGGGAACAAGTGGAGTGAGCACAGGTGAAGTGGGTACAGGTCAGATGGGACACAGGTGAGGTGGGCGTGGGTCAGGGGCACAGGTGAGGTGGTCACAAGTGAGGCAGCACAGATGTGGGACACAGGTGAGGGGCCCAGGCGAGGTGGGACATGGGTGAGGGGGCATGGGTGAGCTTATGCCAGCTGTAACTTGCCGTGCTTGCGATACCGTGGCAGCCATTGCGCATGGAGCCCCTGCTGTCCACCTGGGCCCCCACCCCAAGCTCCCCGTGCTGCACTGGGCGTTCTGGCCCCACTTCACACAGAGGAGACTGAGGCTCGGGGAAGTGAAATGACAGGTGTGCTCCATGCGGGCTGTCGGGCCCTTCCAGCTACTGCCCAAGGAAACGCGGCCGAGCCCCTCGCCCAGCTTGGGCTGGACCAGGGACACTGGGTGGATGTCGTGCGGGGACCCCGGCCTGTGACCCTGCCCTCTCCCTGCTGGGGCTCAGCTCTGACGCCCGCACAGACATCCAGGAGGACCCACTCTAGTCCCCACTTGTGAGGGGCAGGACTGTATCCTCTGCCGGCTCCGGTGGCGCCGATTCTGCCGCCTCACCACAAGCCCTAGACGTTCCCGCTTGACAGCTCAGAAAACTGTCCCGGAGGGGAGACCCTTGCAGGTTCCACGGCTTCCGGACCGAGCAGGCGGCTGGAATCAGCCAGCTGGGCATGGAGACCAAAGCAGGAGGAGGAGTCTGCGGGGAGGGAGGCGGAGACCGTGCTGCGGGGTCCCCACAGAGAGTCCTCTAGCCCTGAGTCCTCCCACTCCTGCCCGCCACCCTGGCTGGGGGGGCCTGGGGTCCTGCACACAGCATGCCCGCAGTGAGCTCGGGGGGCTCCTCCCTTCGCTTGCCGTAGGGGAGAGTGTGCGTAGAGGATGGTGGCTTTGGGGGTCTCCACCGGGCTGTCTGGCTGCAACCGCCCGGTGGGGCGGACGTGGGGGCAGACCCTGCGGCGGCCAGGTGGAGCAGCAGAGGCCAGCGGCCATAGCAATACCGGGAGCTCCACCAACCATCTCCGCCTGGGCGTGGGCCTGTGTGGGCAGCACCTCCAGCCTTCCCTGGGGATGAAAGAGTCTATTCGTTCCGGGAACGCCCTGTTGCACTTTAGCTGGTACTGCAGAGTCCGAAGTCATGGTGACCCCAAGCACCCCTGGGTGGGAGGCCAGGCAGCCCCGGAAGGCAAGTCCACCGGGAGGCAGGGACACAGCAAGTCACCGCAGACCTCAGGCAAGGCATGCCCCCAGACTCCACACCTCCACAGGGACCCACCAGATGCCCAGATCTCCTCTGTCCTCACACCAGTGGAACCAGGCTGCTGTGCCCACATTTTCCACGCGAGGAAGCCCAGACGCAGGCAGGGCCAGGGAGGGGCCTCTGGTGTGCAGAGCCTGCGAGCTGCCTTCTCTGGGTCTGTCCCCAGAGAGCCCTCCCGTGAGACCCCAGGAGGCACAGGGCTCCACACCTGGTGTCGGGCGCGGCCCAGGCCAGAGCCTCCTGCCACATGCCACCCTGCCGCCCGGTCTTCCTCCTGCCCACAGCCTGGGCCTAGGCATACTCCACTGCCCCTCCGTGGTGCAGGGAAGCCTGGCCACACACTGGACATTGGGCGCTGGTCACAAGCTGGTTCTCGGCCTCTTCACTGTCCCTCCCCTCCTCCTCTTTCTCCTCCCCCTCCCTCTCCCCCC